TGTCTAACTGTCAATACAATCCAAAAGAAGAATTGATAAAAGGAGTAACAAGGTCATGCGGACGCTAGCAGCTACCTTGAAATCTCCACAGATAGCCGGCATGAACTCAACGATCACCGCACTCTAACTCACCTGAATCTGCACATAAAGTGCAGGGTGTAGCATGAGTACAACCAACTCAGCAAGTAACAGAAATAACTAAGGAACTGAGCAATAGTGACCAGCTAAGTAAAACAGTTCAGTTATTTATTTTCACAATTTAAAAATAAACAGAAAAAAACATGTAAGTTCCATAACTCTGTAAATGCCACAAAGAAGTTTAACAGATAAATGCAGCAACAACACAAATAAATACAGCCTCACAGTAGTGTCACTACATCACTTATCATTCGCACTCAACACTCAATACTCAAAACACTCAACACTCTGCGCTCACTAGAGGTGTGTACAGACTCCAGAGGGACTCCCAAAGCCCAAGCGCTAAGCACGGACAACTCACGTGCCATCATATCAATACATGGATCTGCNATATCAATACCTGGATCCGCACGGTCAACTCACGTGCTACGCGGACAGCTCACGCGCTATGGTACCAATACCTAGATCTGCACGATCAACTCACGTGCTACGCGGACAACTCACGCGCTATGGTATTAATATCCTCACAACCAGGCCCTCGGCTTCACTCAATCATGTACCTCACTAGCCTCATCATCACCAACAAATAAGGGAACACAACCCACATCAAGCATCACCGCATATTAGCAATTAATCGAGATTGAGGTAAACATGTACAATAATTTCTATGACTGAGAACAAATAATGTGAGCATGAATAAATCCTAAGCATGATCTCTAACATGAAGGCAAACAAGTTCAACAACAAATAAACACATAACCACAGATAATAGCCATTAGGCCTCACAGCCTCACGGGACGGACCAAGTCTCAATCCCTCGCGGTGCACACCCACACGCTCGTCAACTTGCGTGGGTATCACTTCCAAACTCACGTGATGTTAAATCTCCGGGTTTATAGCCTCAAAGCCAGAGTTAAAAGTGTTACTTACCTTAACAACGTAAAACTCCTATTCCGGGATGCTCTCGTCTCTGGACTCGGTTTCCAATACTCCTAATCTATTCACAATCAGTACAATGCCATCAATATATGCTAATGCAATGAATTTCACAAGGAAAACTATCAAATTAGACCAAAACCCGAAATTGGCTCAAACTCGGTCCCCGGGCCCATGTCTCAAAATCCAACAAAATTCACAAAACTAGAAATCTCATTCACTCACGAGTCTAACCATACCAAATTCATCAAAATCCGACATCGTTTGGTCCCTCAAATCTTTAAATTAAACTCTTAAACATTCCAAGCCCTAACCCCTCATTTTCACTAATTACAAATTAAACAACGGAAAATCACCATATATACAAGTATTAGGGCTCAAGTAACTTACTTCAACGAAACCCCCCTTGATTCCCTCTTCGAAACTCTCCCAAAAGCTCCAAAAACCGAATAGAAATGGTGAAGAACGCACCAAAATTCGTGAAGTGTGATATATAAGATCTGCCCATAGATTTCACATATGCGGACTCGCATCTGTGGTCCCAGGTGCGCATATGCAAAAATCACTTAGACGCCAATCTTCACACCTTCGAAGAAGCAGAAGGAAATGCGCAGGTGCGCTACCGCAGGCGCGAGAATTTGAAGTGCAGATGCGGAAAATGGGAGGCCAAGGCTGGAGCGCAGGCGCGAAGGATTTGGACGCATCTACGAGCCCGCAGGTGCGAGACCTGGGCGCAGGTGCGGAGGCTGAGAGTTTAAGTGATTCTCGCAGGTGCGAGGATTTTTTTACCGTAGGCGCGTGGAATAGGCCGCAAGTGCGAAAATCTGGGAAGAATGTATAGATAGCACTTCGCGATTTTGGTTCATTTCCACCATTTTCAAGTCGGATTTTGGAACTTTTGGAGTGATTTTCGAAAGGTGATTCAAGGGCTATCAGTGAGGTAAGTTGCTTGAGCCCTAATACTTGTATACATGGTGATTTTCCGTTGTTTAATCATTGTAATTAGTAAAAATGAAGGGCTAGGGCTTGGAATTTTTAAGAGTTTAATTTAAGGATTTGAAGGACCAAACGATGTCGGATTTTGATGAATTTGGTATGGTTAGACTCGTGAGTGAATGATATTTCTAGTTTTGTATATTTTTTCGGATTTCGAGACATGGGCCCGGAGGCCGGGTTTGAGCCAATTTCGGATTTTGGTCTAATTTGATAGTTTTCTTGTGGAATTCATTCTATTAGCGTATATTGATGGTATTGTACTGATTGTAAATAGATTTGGAGTATTTGGAGGCCGAGTCCAGAGACAAGAGCATTGCGGGATAGAGATTTGACCGGTTTGAGGATACAAAGTATTTCTTGACTGTTATGAAGGAAAGAAGCCAAAGAAAACAGATTGTGGAACTCAACTCCACTGCGGGCAACAAACTAACAGATACTACTGAGATAAAGGAAGAGATTATTTAATGGGCACCACAACATAGACGTTGCTTGCTATTAACAAGCAGGTTATGAAGACTGGCCCTGCGCTATCTCATACTCAACAGATATTTCTTTGTAAAGAGGTTAGTGACAAGGAGATTTATGAGTGCTTATCTTCCATAGGTGATGATAAATCCCCTGGTGTAGATGGGTATAATGCGTATTTCTTCAAAAATACATGGAATATAGTCAGAACAGATGTTTGTGAGGCAGTCAAGAACTTCTTTGCTACGGGGAGACTATACATGGGCATAAATTGCACAACCATTACCCTTATCCCTAAGACAACATGTCCAAATTCAGTGAAATATTTTCAACCTATTGCATGTTGTAGTGTGCTTTACAGGATAATTGCAAAGATCCTGGCATCAAGGATTCATCAGATCATAGGGGACATTGTCTGTGATGCCCAATCTGGGTTCATCCCTGGAAGGAAAATAGCGGATAACATCCTAATGGCACATGAACTCGTTAGAGCTTACACTAGGAAGCACATATCTCCTAGGTGTATGATAAAAATAGACTTGAAAAAAGCCTACGATTCAGTAGAATGGATATTCCTGGAGCAAGTAATGTATGAGCTAAAATTTCCTAGAAAATTCATTCTCTGGGTGCTAAAATGTGTTAGAATAGTAAACTATTCTGTCTTGATTAATGGTGAACCTACTGATCCCTTTGATGCTGTAAGAGGCTTAAGATAAGGTGACTCAATATCACCCTTATTATTTGCCATAGTTATGGAGTACTTAAGCATAAATCTCAACAGGTTAAAAGAAGATAGAGCTTTTAGATACCATCCCATATGTGCTAAACTAGGAGTTACTCATCTATGCTTTGCAGATGACTTGCTCCTATTTGCCAAAGGGGAAGTATCATCGGTCTCTAAAATTCATAAATCCTTCGTGGACTTCTCTAATGCTTCTGGATTACAAGCCAACTTGGACAAAAGTTCAGTTTATTTTGAAGGTGTCTATCAAACCTATAGAGATCTAATACTACAAAACCTTGGTTATGTGTCTGGCGAACTTCCTTTTAAGTACCTGGGAATCCCCCTCTCCACAAAAAAGCTTTCTCTAATTCAGTGGCAGCCATTAATCGACAAAATGGTGGCAAAGATTTCATCTTGGACCGCTAAGAAGCTGTCATATGCAGGAAGGGTTCAGCTAGTACATACAATGCTATTTGGCATACAATCCTATTGGGCTCAAATGTTCCTACTGCCGGCAAAAGTGATTAAAACTATTGAAGCCTATTGCAAAAGTTATATTTGGTCAGGTACTAACAATATCACTAAAAAGGATTTGGTTGCTTGGGAGAGGTTTTGTATCCCTGAATGTACGGGGGGATTCAATCTCATCAATTTAAAAATGTGGAAAAAAGCAGCACTCGCAAAAAACTTTTGGGACTTGGCTCATAAATTAGATAAGTTTTGGATAAAATGGGTGCATGCTTACTACATAAAAGGACAGCAGATGGCCAGCTTTAAGGTTCCACAACAAGCAAGTTGGATGTTAAGGAAAATTATTGAAGCAAGGAACATAATAGAGGATGACATGAATATCACTAGAAAAGGGCAAAGTGTGATAAGAAGAATCTATTTGCAGCTTATTGATAATCCCACTAGGGTGAACTGGAAGTGCCTTATGTTAAAAAATGAAGCGAGACCCAAAGCCACATTCACAATGTGACTCCACTTGCAAGATAGACTTCTCACTGATGAAAGACTATACAAATGGGGTATACTAGTTGATGCAGGGTGTGCTTTCTATCAAGAACGAGTTGAATTTAGAAGCCACCTCTTCTGTGAATGTGATTTTGTGAGGAACATATGGTGCAGAGTAATGAGTTGGCTTCAAAGACAGAGATACGCGGCTAAAAGTTGGGATCAACATCTAAAGTGGGCTATCCAAAATGGCAAAGGTAGGTCACAAGAAGCTAAGATGTTCAAACTCGTATATGCGGAAACTGTTCATGCTATTTGGTTGGAAAGGAGCCTGAGGATATTCGAAAAGGAATCCAAAGAAGGAGAAAGGTTAGCGAGAGAAATTGCCTATATCTGCAATATTAGAGCATCGGAAAACATAAGAAAACTTCTCCAACTTTGTATTTTCTGAGTTTTCCGTTGGTATTTGAGGAATTAGGCTTGATAGTTGGAATTAAGTCCCAAGTGATACACTAACAAACAAGTAGGCAGAAAGGGTAGAAAGATAGTCTGATATACAACACTAAGAGCAATCCTCCTCTGCTAGAAGTTTTGTTAGTTAGCCTTGTTAGTTTTCTTTTGGACAGTTAGCTGTGTTGTAGCTAAACTGTGGCTTTGTAAAGTTACACATTGGTGATTAATAAAATTCTTAGTTACCAAAAAACAACAACAACAACAACAATAATAATAATAATAATAATAATAATAATAATAATAATAATAATAATAATAATAATAATANCCGCGCGCTTTTCATCTTACTGTCTCTCTATAAAAAAAAAAACCCACACTCTTCACTAATTCCTCTCACTAATCGGAGAGAAAAATGGAGAAGGGAGAAGAAGAACAAGCTGAAGAAGAGATATCTGAAGAGCAAAGAAAGCGGGCCGAAGCCAATCGTCTTGCCGCCTTAGCGAAGCGCAGAACCCGACTCACTGAACCCAACCAAGACTCTTGGAAGCATTTCAAATGCAGAAAGATCTCCCATTTACCCCTCTCCGCCAACTCCACTAATGTTTCTTTCCGTAAGCCTCAAACCCCCTCTCCCCTCAACCCACCTCCCATGCCCTGCACCCCTAGTCCTCCACCACAAAAGTTTAGGGCCAGGCTTGAAATTTGCTCGTCGGATTCATTCTCTGTCACTCCCGCGCCCCTGGAAGGATTTACTTATCCCGGTGAACAACAATGTATGGAAAAACTCAGAGATTGCCTCTCATGTGTAAGGATTTTTTCTCACAATACTATGTTAGTTATAGCCTACATTTATGTCTTCGTTGGACTCATAGTTCATGTGAAATCCTATGTCGGGTTGCAAGATTTTCAACTGATAGGATGGGTTTTGTGTTAGATTGATGTATGCCAAGTTGATTTATCTTTTTCTGTTTATTTGACATCTAGTGTAAGCCAATATTTAATCTTTTTGTGGGCTTAGATGTTCATTTACTCCTATAAATAATTGGCCAACAACTATGGCTCAGTCCCAAACAAGTTATGGTCGGCTATATGAATCCTCACTTCCCCTTTAAGCTTAACTCATGTCATCATTATACCAGTGAAAGTGAAAAATAAGTTAAATATATATAAATAATAGTAATAATAACAATAATACTATAAGTTGTCTAACAAGACTAGATCATTATCTCCACTAGTAGATATCATCTATATGGACCTTTTTCTTCCATTGTGCCATATCTTTAGCTAAGTATGCATTGATCCAAAGAAACTATAGGTCTTTCGAGATAACTTTCTTCCATGTGATTTTAGGTCTACCTTGTCTCCTTTTAACACTTTCACCCACCATAGTTTCACCTACCGACCGATGCATATGTAGGTCGACATAGGACATGACATCATCATCTCTCATTTGCCCTTTGAAAGCGTTGTCAAATTTCGGGGTATAGGAGGGATTTGGTTTGTCTTTGAATCTATGCGTTTCTCTCTCGTTCTTTTAAAGGCACATTCTCTTTAACTCATTATTGAATCCAAAGCTTCTATGTCGTTGATCTAGTAATTGATGGATTGAGTAATTTTACTGGTAATCTGTTTCCTTTGTTACAAAACTGTGAAATTGTCTGAAGCCTTTATCTTTTAGCAGTCCAAGATATTAATCCAGGAACTCAACCATGTTAGTTTATCTGATCAGGTGGCACTGTCGCATTGCACTCAAACGACTAGTGAGGGAAAGGCTTGTGTTTATCAAGTTAGAGACTATGAAGCAGTTCTGAAGTCTCTAAAGAACTCTAGAAGCATTGAATATGAAGAGATCCCTTGGGGAACATTCAATGTAGTCGAGAGACTTTCTCATTCATCCTCTGCAGGTCGATGGATACCTTGTAGGCCGGAGCATCTTCCTGATGAGAAGGTTGATGAGTTGATCAGCAAACTTCCTAAAAGATTGTTGGATACACTTCATCCTTTTCAGCTTGAAGGAGTTCGGTTTGGATTGAGAAGGGGCGGTCGATGTCTCATTGCAGATGAGATGGGACTAGGGAAAACGATCCAGGTAATGTTGCTGAAATAGATAACTGAATATTGCTGTAGCAGACAGGGAATCCTGCTATTACTGTCGATGCATGTCTGAGGTAAATAGCTATTCAGGAAGATGGGCGATCTTTGTAGTTGAGTGCACTTCTAACATGAGTAACTCATTGTAGGATAGACTTTTCTCCATTCAACTATTAGATGAAAAACTATAGTCTTAAACTAATTTTTTCAAGTTCGGATACTTTATTTGGCTAGATTGTTACTCAGCTAGCTCAAATTTGACAGGAATAAATTTGGTAGAAGTTACGCTAGAATTAAGGAAGAAATATAAATGCTCTTAAATTGGAAATTTACAGGAATACTTAAGCATGTTCTTGACGGATACTAAAGATGACAACTTTTTGGCTACGGTAAATTCCTCTGCCTCTGTATGGGTGCTCTTGGTACCGTAGATTGGAGTTGCGTTACCAAAGCTCTCAGTTCTAAGTTTCTTGTTGTGGTTGTCAATGAAATCAATCTCCTATATTGGTTGTAAACTTTTGTACTTCGGAGGATCTATTGAATTAATTCTACAATTCTATTTCTTTTTTGTATATGTCTTAATGTGTGTGCGTCTCGCGCATTTTTGCCTCAAACTGATTGTTTTGAATCTAGTATATTCTTAATTCAATACCTTCTTCTGAAGCTTGATATTTCGCAAAATAGTTTCTCCTCTAATATTAACTCACATTTTTTTATTCAGGCTATCACCATTGCAAGTTCCTTCATGGATGAAGGTTCTATGCTCATAGTTTGCCCAGCTATTCTGAGATATCCATGGGCTGAAGAACTGGAGCGCTGGCTTCCTTGTTTACCTTCTGATATCCATCTGGGTACTGTTTTCAAGCTTGTCCACCACTAATAACCATTCTCTTCCTTTATCTCCCTTTTCCTCTCTGAAAAGTGATGACTAGGGATGAGTGCATGGAGAAGTTATAGTCATATCGTTCTTTAACGTTATAAAAGCTGTTGTCATGTATATGTTGATTTACAAATCCTAAAGTAGGACTTTGTGTTTGTGGTGTATGATAATTAGAGGAAACATACTAGTGAATAGGGAATTGATATAAGTCTATTTAGTGACCCTAAGTTGCTCGGACTCGGGTGCGGGTGTCCGATATGGGTGCGGATCTAGAGGTCAGATACTTCATGATCTTAATATTAAGATTCGGGGATACTCATCCAGGTACGGACACTGGTGCAGGGATTCAGTTAAAAATAATTCAAATATCTAAAAATAGAGTTATAAAAATATCTATATGAGACATTATGTGAAAAACTTACAAGGTATTCCGAGAAAGAAGAAATATCGATCAAGAGGAGAATCCGAGAAGGAGATAAAAGGAAAAGGATTGAAATAGAAATTTCTATATACAAGATATTACATTTTTTTTTCAATTTCACCGTAGCTTTTGTTTTGATTTCAAAAATCATTGTATCTGTCCCGAATTTCTCCATTGATCTAGGTCAAAGTACCCAAAAATCAGTTGACCAGATCCGGTACAGATCCAGACCCACACTCACACCCACACACACGTCGTGTCGACACGGGTGCGACATCAAAAGTGAAGAGTCCGTGCCCTTTGCTGTTTACCACTGTCCCTTAGTTCTAGGATTGAACTAATGGAAGTTTGTTTCAGTTTTGCCACCGATAGAGTTCTTTTCAGTTATCTAACGCGTATATAGCTCTTATAGTATCTTTTTCTTGAGTAACTTTTAGATGAATTGTATGGATTGTTTCTTCGAAAAAGGCTGAGTTTTGAATGGCAGTGAATGGTTTTAGATACCACCTTTTCTATGGCCTGGATGGCAGGTTTAGTTAGGCAAAAATTAGACTGCATATTTGTGTTATCCGTTTAGTTTACCTACTTTACTTTCATTAGGAGAATAAGAGTTTTGTTCTCACACTTATTTGGATAATTTAACTCTTGAATGGTCGTATTGAAGGGAAAGCTTCTAGGGACTATAAATGAAACACTGAACCCTTGATGAGACTCGATGCTGCTTGAATAACTGATTACGAGAGACTCATTGCTAGTGATAAAATCAGAGAGCTCTTCTCATTTTTATGTGTACAAAACTTAATCACTTGTTGATCTCAACCTAAAGAAAGCATTGAACACGATTCTCTTGTCATTAAAAAAAATATTTCTTTATTATCTTTATGTAATCTATTTCTGCCCCTTGTTTCAATAGATTTCTTTCTGATTAAAAAAATAAGTTATTTCTCCCCTTGTTCTGTGGGTCCTTTTTATATGTCCAGTTCCGCTGGAAAAGAGCTGTGTTTTAAACTATATTTGAGTTGATAAACAACAAATATATTGCTTAGTTCCTCGTTTAGGAATTATCTAACTGTAAATTCGTTCATTTTGAGCTAGCATGACTAATTTGGCTGTCCTTCTAGGCTTTTTTGTCTTTTCTAGTTTTATGTCTTACATTCAATTTTTATGTATACATCTTTGTCATCTAGTTTTTGGTCACAAAGACAATCCTGTTCGTTTACCTAAATGTCCAAGAGTTGTGGTGATATCATATACGATGCTTCGTCGTTTGAGGAGGAATTGTCTAACTGTAAATTCGTTCATTTTGAGCTAGCATGACTAATTTGGCTGTCCTTCTAGGCTTTTTTGTCTTTTCTAGTTTTATGTCTTACATTCAATTTTTATGTATTCATCTTTGTCGTCTAGTTTTTGGTCACAAAGACAATCCTGCTCGTTTACCTAAATGTCCAAGAGTTGTGGTGATATCATATACGATGCTTCGTCGTTTGAGGAGGAACATGTTGGAACAAGAGCGGGCCACCTTGGTTGTGGATGAATCACATAATTTGCGTTGCACAAAGAAAGCATGTGAAAATGACGAGGTACAAAGTCCTTTCTGAGAAAAAAAAATCTTTAGATAACTAAGATCAAGTTATTTTTTAAGTAACTAGTCAAATAAGTGCTTACTTCAATATATTTAGCTCTTTGTCTGACCATTTACTGTTTAGGGTAATACCAATTGATGGTTGAGGTGTAAAAAGTTGGGGTGTTGATCCCTAAACATTTGATTAGTGGCATTAGAACCTTTCCACTAAATACTAATGTTTCATGAGTCACTTGGTTGGTGAAAGGATGAAATTGTCTTTGATTTAAAAAAAACAATTAGTCAACATTAAATCGAAAAGACTTGGGAATTAGAAACAAAAAGCATGACTGAAGCGGGATGCAAAAGATAAAAGTTTTTTGGCTAACATGGGAAAAGCTATGAAGTTATACTGCATGTGCTTATATATCTGATTTCCAGTTTAGGCTCTTCTAGATCAAACATAAAGCTGAGTTGAAAATCCACTTTGCAGTTTATCAGGGTTGACCACAGGATCATTTGTGTTAGAGTTGCTCTATTTTCTAGTGATGATAAATATTGGTGATGCAGAGTCAAAACCTCTAAATAGATTAAAGAGAAAAAAAATTGTTAGTTTAATACTTTTCAAAAATGGCGTATGAAGACCGTCAAAGCTCTTCAGTTTTTACTGATGGGTCAAAGATTGATCGGCTGCTTACTCTCCACTCCAAAATTTTGAGGTTGTCATAGATCTGGACATTTACACCACAGGCCTCAAGACCCACTTGATGGACCCATAAGCAATGAATGAACCCACTACAAGGCCACAACTTTCGTGTACTTGCTGATAAAGAAGTAGATGGAGTCCTTGTCAAGTTTGGGGTGGAAGTATCAAACTTGACATCTTGGTTCTCTATCAGATACGACATTTGTCAAGAAATAAATTTTCATGGAAGGTTAGAGATGTAGGTAGAACAAACTTTTGAGAGGCACAAAACTCTCAATTAAAGAAGGGGTGATGCTTTCTCTTCAATAAAGGATCTTCATATTTATGAGGCATGATGCATGAATTTGGAACTTCGTTTTTTTAGTGGATGCACTTCCAATTATCGACATTTCATGATCAGTTACTGTACATAGTCAATACTTATTTGTTTTACTGCGTAAGAGTTCTCTTTTGTTGTTTGACAGATAACAACTGTTCTTGATGTTGCGACAAAGGCCAAGCATGTAATTCTATTATCTGGGACTCCATCTTTGTCAAGGTTGTAGCGTGTAGTGACACTTTTATTGATGTATGATCTTTGAAGTTTAGTTATCCTTTGAGAGCAGTCTTAACTTGCTAATGTACTTTGTTTCTTTTCGATCATGGCAATTTTCTGCATATGTCAATTGCATTCTGATACATGTTTCCTGTTTTCCTAAATGCTCGTAGGCCTTATGACATTTTTCATCAAATAAATATCTTATGGTGAGTTACTTGGTTCTCCATTTTCTCTGAGTACCTTTTACTCTGGATGGTCATTTATTCCCTTCTCATACTTCTTTCATGGTTTAACCTAGGCCCGGTTTACTTGGAAAGACTAAATATGACTTTGCAAAGACTTACTGTTCGGTTAGATTTGTTCATGGCTGCCAAGGGAAGGTTTTCCAGGTGACTCTTGTTCCCTCAAATATTGAAAGAGACGCAAATCCCACTGGAAAATGTTCATGATTTGGTCTTCACAGGATTTCTCAAAGGGGGTTCGCTTGGAGGAATTAAATGTGTTACTGAAGCAAACTGTAATGGTATGACCTTGTAGCTCCTTTGTTGCTTCAATTCATTGTATTTTTCATGATGTACTTTGTTTTTGTCCTCATCTTCGATCTCTCAGCGACTTGTAAGTACATGATGTCTGTGAGAAGGCACAGGAGAAAATATGTTATTGATATTAGACGATAAATACAATACAAGAGGTCCCTATTTATAGCTATACACTACAAGGAGATATTACTCCTCTTCCAATGTGGGACAAGACTACACTATACATATCTATAAAGTAACATTCCCCCTCAAGCCGTTGCATACACATCATATGTACCGAGCTTGTTACACATGTAACTAATACGAGAACCAGTAAGAGACTTAGTGAAAATATCTGCTAGTTGATCATTCGACTTTACAAACTTTGTAACAATATCTCCTGAAAGTATTTTTTCTCTGACAAAGTGACAGTCGATCTCAATGTGTTTAGTCCTCTCATGGAACACCGGATTTGACGCAATATGAAGAGCAGCTTGGTTATCACACACTAGTTCCATCTTGCTGATTTCTCCGAACTTTAACTACTTGAGCAACTGCTTGACCCAAACTAACTCGCACGTCGCCATAGCCATGGCCCGATATTCGGCTTCGGCGCTAGATCGAGCAACTACATTCTGT